GTCGACATTATCGACAATGCCAACAATAAAAAATTGTTGACAACTATTTCTGTTGTCAAATAGTTGCACTTATGAGACGTGCAAACGAAACTGAATCAGTAAATGTATATTGCAAAACAAACACAGAATAAAAATGACAACATGAGAAAACAGAAGTTAAGAAAGCATCTGATCGTATCGATGTGGAGGTTTGCATAAACGCCACGATTACACTTTATGCAATAGATTGCTTTAAAGCACACAGCTTTACTATATTAAGTGTCATCAGTGTCACAAGTTATTATAACTTATTTTTCTGCTCTATATGTATATGAATATGTATAGAACATGTGTAACTCAATATTTTAATGAATTGCAAAAGCTGAATAATAAGCCTACTGATCAATCTGCCAAAATGATCGACAGTTTGTCAATTAATCATTCTAACAATCATTAGATTAATTGATTATCAAAATAATTATAATCCCCTATAGCAGCTGACGTACCCCTCATGTTTCCATATTTAGTTGCTAAACTGTTATTTCTTTTGTAAACAAAGTTTGCACTCAATTCTTGTCCCTCTATCCACATAAAAGAGCAACTTTAACATGTGCATTTTTTTTAACCACCACTAGTGGTATCCTGCAACTAGGGTTGTAACGATATACCGGTATCACGGTTTGAACGTGCACGGTTATCATGCGTAAACATTTGCATATCTACGTTTTTTTTTTTAAATGAATGAAAAAAAATCTCACCCGAGCACATGTAACTTATTTCCGTTCGGCTGCTTCACTCTGCATTCACTTGGCTGCTTACATGCATGTGCAGCGGAGAAAATGACAGAGACAGAGATAATATCTAATCTCCATCCCCGCCGAAAAAAAGTTAATATCTGCAGTATGGGAATACTTCGGATATTTAAAAAAAACAAACGCGGGGTTGTCCTTGAGGACGGATCCAATTTGCAAAAAATGTGGACGTAAAGTGGGTGCAAAAGCAGGCAATACATCCAACATGTTCGCTCATATTCGCGGACACCACCCCTCCGTGCAGATGAAGGTGTGTCGCATTAATAAGAAGTTATAAGTTAAGGCCGTATGATTTCCGTGAAGCAGATGGAATCCCGGTGCAGTCGTGAATATGGAATTTACAGTATAATGAGGATGTCACGTAAAACGCGCAATCGTTTGGATGGATAAGTCAAAAGTAGTTATGATATGTGTCTGTGAGCGAGAGATAGCCTTTACGGCTAAAGAATTAAACGGATACGGTACAAAATAGTTAGGTTTAAAAAGATTATAGATTATATTTGATGAAATGCAAAAGTCAGACGCTACAACCTGTCAAAATAAAAGTTTTGAAAAATTTGAAATTATGACAGAAATATATTAGCATTGTAGAATGTACTTCAAAGTTATAATAACAACAATAATATTCTTTATAATAAAATAATTTATTTAAACATTTTCAAGGAATATCATGTTTGTCCATGTTTGAACTTTGCCAAAAATAAAAGGAATTGTACATTTTCATTTGATGACATTTTAAAACATTTTAATTAAAATGTTAAAGTGTGATATAGATATACATAAGGTGTACAGATTTTTTATTGTTTTTAAATTTATTTATTTTTCAGAAGGGAGACTTCAATACTTTCATTAAAATGGTTTCAAGTTTGTTGTAATAAAGGATTTGTTCACTCAAATAACTTGTTCTTGTTCTTTTAAGAGTCATTGTTACTGATAAGAATTATTGTTTAATATATACCGTGATAACCATGATTTTATGAGACGATTATCATACCGTGAAAATCCCATACCGTTACAGCCATTTTTTACTACAGTCGGTAGTAAACCATAGTGAAAACACGATAATGTATGACAAAAAGATTGCTACAGTCCAATATAGAGTTTAACATGAATATGCTCTTTATGCTATGACCAATCAGAATTAAAAATTCTGAGTAACTGAGTAATAAAAGAGGTGATAAAGCAGTGTTGCTGAACAGTGCCATTGTTTTGTCTTAATGTGTTGATCTTGCTCGGCTTGATTAGAAGTGATTTCATATTCGTTTGCTTGTGGGCGTGAAAAATGTCTCAGGAAACCACAGTTATACTCTGATATAATTTTTGTATGTGAGCTATATTCATTTATTTTAATTTTATTTTAATTGAATTGCATACTCATTTCAGATCAAATTTTGCACTTCTCTTTACCCCTAATCTTATCATATATATATACTGCTGTTTCCTGCAAAATGGGGAAAGGTTTTTCATGGCTATAACAACTTTTGTGTGGTATAGCTTGCAGTCAGCAACAAATTGTGACAGGAAGCAAGGCTCTTGCAAGTGTGTGCCATTGTAGAAATAAGGACCCCCCTCCCATTATTTCTTGTGCACATTTGCAACTTGATTTATGATTTTCCTGGAAACGAGATCACAAGTTCTGTGAATACAAATGCGCAACAATTTGCAGAGACTACTGAACTGTTTGAATGTGTTTTGTCCACACAGGTTAATTTCTGTAGTTACAGACAAATCTACCATCCCTAAACAGCATGTAAACAACTGTGATTGGTCACTTTACATGTCTGTCGAACAGTGTCTGTGTGTTTATGTAGATTGTTCTTATCCAAAATAAACTGCAAAGTGGGCTGAACTCGCAATGAAATGCAAGTAGTGACAGATCTTTTCTTCTGTATGGTGATGCACATCCAAGACGATTATAAAAAAATGGTGGGCATGGACTTTGTTCTATTTAGTTGTTCATTGGATTTTGAGATGTGGGAGTAGTACTCAAAAGTGGTGGCAGATGAATGTGAGCTTGCGGTCGGGGGCAGGATTATTTTGATTAAACATATGATGTAAAAAAAAAAACTTTTTGTAGAAAATTACTGTTTTACAAGGATGAATTATTCACAAGATCTATAACATGCATTCAGACATTTCTAAATTAAAAAATGTTAAATTCATGAATTTTCATTATATGCTGTGTTTTTTGTTAACTAAGTCAAGCATTACTGTTAACAAAAACAGGAAGTTAATTAAAACAGGAAGTAGGTCTACATTTAGATCCCTATCAGTTTGCATATAAACATCGGAGAGGCACTGATGATGCAATCAACAGGTTAGTGCACCTAGTGACTAAACATCTTGAGAATCCCCCAGGGCTTATGCTAGACTGTTGTTTGTAGATTTTAGTTCAGCCTTTAACACCTTGCAGCCTCACATTATTTTGAAATCACTGCAGCAGATGAATGTCAACCCCTTTATTATTAAGTGGTTCCACTCATTTCTGACCAATCGTAGTCAGCAAGTCAGGGTGAATAGGACGTTGTCTGAATCTATTGGTGCTTTTCCACTGCATGGTACGGCTCGGTACGGTTCACTTTTTTGGGGGTTTTCCACTGGGTACAGTACCTGGTACCTGGTACTTTTTTTAGTACCACCTCGGTTGGGGTTCCAAGTGAACCGTACCGTTACCAAAACGTGACGTGTAAACTCTGCTGATCACGGATTGGCCAGAGAGAATCGTCACTACCTGCGTCACTGAACTTGCGACACAAACACAACACCGAGCCGAGTCGTACCACGCAGTGGAAAAGCGCCATATGATTATCAGCACTGGCGCCCCACAGGGGTGTGTCTGTTCTCCAGTTCTGTTCACATTATACACTAATGAATGCACATGCAGTACTGTTAATAATTACACGATTAAGTTCTCTGATGATACAGCTATTTTAGGTCTCATATCTGGAACATCAGGTGTTGCTACTTACAAACATGAGGTTCAGAAATTTGTTCAGTGGTGTGATGAACATTTCCTTATTATTAACATGAAGAAAACAGTGGAGATGATGTTTGACCCCAAACCCATTGGAGACCAGACCACTCACCAGTGGTCATTAATGGTCAGAATATAGCCCAGGTAGACTCTGGTGGAGTGTTCAGGTGGAAAATGTCTGTACTAGGGTCCAACGGCGACTATACTTTCTTCGTAGGCTTAGGGTTTTTGGTGTTAACCAGAAAGTGTTGCTTCTCTTTTACCATGCTGTAATCGAGAGCATTCTTCGATATGGCATCTCAGCCTGGTTTGGCAATCTCAGTGTACATTTGAAAGCTCAGATTACATGGCTAACACAGAGAGCCATGAAAATTATGGGAGTTAAGCAGCATCCCACACTTCAGGCTCTTTTATGAGACAATTATTAGACAGGCTCAGAAAATTATTTTAGACCCCACTCATGTCCTTCACTCTGAGTACCAACTTCTTCCTTCGGGAAGACGCTTCAGAGTTCCTCAATGTAGGCTTAACCGTTTTAAGAACTTCTTTGTTCCTCTGTCTATTAAAGCATTAAATGGTAAGTTAGCTAGAGGGTAGCAGTTATAATTTACATTTTTTTTCTCTTTTTTCTCCCTCTCCGTAGTTTATGTATTCACTGTATATTGTGGGTAGGGTAGTGATGGGTTGCTGTATGTATTATATGTACGTAGTTATTCATACTAAACCGCAGATATCGTATTGTATGTGTCCAAGACAAATTTCCTTCGGGACAATAAAGTTTATCTTACATCTTATCTTACATCTTAATATTTCTCTTACTTAACATTGTTTTGTAATTGTAATTTAGCGCACAGACGACAACTTTGTCAAAACAACCCCGTTCAACTGGAACTGAGAAAATGACTAAAAACGCTATATTTTGCGTGCCAGGCCAGTAGTTGGCAATGTCACTTTGTAAAGACACTTTGTAAACACTTAGCGCCTGTGCACATACCTATAGACTGAACACATAATACGCATCCACATGACGTCTTCAGTTTACGTGAAGTGGATAACACAAGTTTTCAAATACTTACAATTTGAAACTTGTTTTTTAAAGTTTGCATTTTCAACCTGAACACCCTGGCAACTGCATAGCAACATGCCCTGGAGTTTTACTTGGGCAAGCACTAGATAGAGTTTTGGTAAAGTTTTTCACAGGTTCAAAACGATCTTTATGTAGGGGTAACCAGTGAACTTATGGCAGACATCCTCACTAATGCAAACCAGATGGTGTCCGTGATAGATAGTTCCCTTCCCCCTACTGCTGTAATGTAAACAGTCCTGCCACACCCATGGAAACACTCAAGAGCTCCTGGAATTCTTGCAGTCAGACGATGCATGTGGTCCTGATCAGTGTGTTTCTGCTTCAGCTCGCAGCCATTCGGAGAACTAAATGTGCTTCTTTCTGTAAATAGACGAAGATTAAATATAGCAGGCAGTTCTAGCGGTTCACTTTGCTGTGTTGACTGTATGGCTCCGATGTTGTGTAGTTTGGAAAAGTTTCTTTTAAAGAGTTTCTACTGTGACTGGAAATTATGCGAAACTCTGAAGGAAAGTGAAACTGGTGAGTACAGTTGCACGTGCTTTTTAACCGTTGTCTGTTTTTGTCATATCGCATATACCTCTGTGGACGTTGTTGCACTATTCGAACTGTTTTCATGCGTTTGCTATCATGTACTTGTAAAAACTAGTCAAAACACTTTTGACTGAATTTATTTCTCATCTTCAAGATATTTAACGTCTAAAGGTTTATTCTCAAAATTTTTTATGTATTTAGCAGATAGTGATTGAAAACTGTATACTAGTTCATTTCTAATGCTAGATGCTGTAAGAACTAAAGATTTATTTTAAATGCTTGAAATTAGTTTTGTAGATGAATAGAATATGGTCATGCAGAATATGTGCTTTATAAGTACTAATAAACAGCCAATATGTTAATAATAGGCATGCTAATAAGCAACTAGTTAATAGTGACAATTGTTCCCTATACTATAGTGTATTTTTGACAAAGAAAATAAAATAAATTTTTTTTTTAAATTTTACTAAATATAAGTGTAAAACACACCATTGTTACTTGAATGAAATGTTACATAAAATAAAATATTAAAAGGTCAACTTATTTTATTTCATATAGTTAACAAGATAACAATAAATTTAAATGATTAAAAACTATACAGATATTTAAAAACAACAAAACTAATAGAAGTTGCAACAACTTTAACTAAAATTAACATGAAAGCATAAAATATAAACAAAATCTAATTTAAAACATAAACAAAATCCAGGGCTCGACATTAACGCAAAAATTTTACTAAATATAAGTGTAAAACACACCATTGTTACTTGAATGAAATGTTACATACAATAAAATATTAAAAGGTCAACTTATTTTATTTCATATAGTTAACAAGATAACAATAAATTTAAATGATTAAAAACTATACAGATATTTAAAAACAACAAAACTAATAGAAGTTGCAACAACTTTAACTAAAATTAACATGAAAGCATAAAATATAAACAAAATCTAATTTAAAACATAAACAAAATCCAGGGCTCGACATTAACGCTTGTCCGGGACAAGTGGATTTTGTGAAGGGGCAAGTGAACGAGAATTTTACTTGCCCGCCCGGACAAGTAACCCATTTAAAACGTCATTGACAAACAATAACTAGGGCAGCGCCAAAACTTTGGCACCATGATTCTGATTTTATTACTTTCAGTGTAAATGGTGACTGATAGCAGATAATGTATTGACAGTATCAAGGTCACGTCAGTTGAGGCTCACGCAGCCTGTGTGACCCGCGGAGAAATCAGAACTAATAAGCGCAACAGCACACACAAAGAAACAAACACGAACAAACATACTGCAGTAGAAAAAAAAGATAAATATTCTATATAAAATAGGTAAGCAACATCACACGACCAAGAGTGATGTTTTTCCGACTATCAGTACGATTGCAAATGTGACATTTATTTGATGCGCATCCTCGAGCAACACATAATAGTGTTTCGTTACTGAATGATTCAGCATTTTTGAACGAATCGGGTGAGTCAATGATTCAGTGAGCCATTCATGAAGACAGTCACTTGCTTCATTTATTGAACGAATCAGCCATTTGAACTAATCTGTTGAATCAGTGACTCACTCATTAAGACCTACCGCCACCTACTGGTACTTTGGTTTCATATTTAAAAGTATCATTGCATTTTTCCACATTTCATATTCGTATGTTAAAAAAGCGATGCATCTTCAGTGTTTCCTCTGCAGTGGAAAGATGGAGTTTGTTGATACTGATTTAATTTGAATGGTAACAACCATACAGTGTCTTATTATTCTAACAATGTATGTACGTAAATGATGACACGCACATTCAATAAGGTCAGGAAAATATTGTCCTTCACAAAGTTAAAAAGTGTCCTGGAAATCAATTTAAGGCAAATATCACAAATATGCTGATTAAAGTAAGACCTGATAGAGCACTGATGAGACAATTGCTTCAGAATAAATTACATTTACGCCAAAAAAAAAGAAGCTTTTTTCCCCCGGACAAGTAACTTTTTTACTCGGGCAAGTGAATGTCTGATTTACTTGTCCGAAGGACAAGCGCATGTCAAGGCTTAATGTCGAGCCCTGAAAATCTATTATAGTGTCTCAATGATAAATTAAATTAATCTTAAATTACATGCTTTGTATGCCTTTGCAAACAGAATGTAGAGTGCTTTCTGAATCATGCACTTTTGTCTTTTCTGTTACAGTACAGACATCTATGAAGAGGCTGTAGTTGTGCGTCATATTTGGATTAAACGTCTGGAAATTGTGAGCCATTCCTCCCCAACGCCCTTCACATGTCATGAGCATGGCCAGAGAAGGACTTCGTGTTTCATAGCAGTGTGTGCCTATTCCGGATTCTCCATTACATTTCTACAAGCTCAAGGGCTGTTATGAATAAAGTAGCATCGTGGTCAGAGGAGGAGGTCTCGCTCTGGCTGACCGATCAGGGCCTGCAGGAATACTCAGAACCATTGCGAAACTATGACGGACCGGCTTTGTTAAGTCTGACGACGGATGACTTCAAGAGGTCACCCCTCTCCAGGGTTATGTCAGACGGTGGTCGTCTGCTCCTGGAAAAGATTGAGACTCTTAAGATCGAGCATCATATCGACGTCCACAAGAATGGACATGCCAACGGGCACATGGTGTTGAATCATAACGGGAATGCTGGGAGTGCTGGAAAGGCTCACCGGAATGGCGTGGTGAATGGCTTCCACAAGGAACTGGTGCAGATTCCCATACCAGAGCCATCTTCTCCGCAGTTCCCTCCTGAGTGGGGAAAGACCGCCGTGGCTCTTGTCTATGCCTTATGCTGCTTCGTCTTGACCACCGTCATTATTTCTGTGGTCCATGAACGTGTGCCTCCTAAGGAGGCATCTCCACCGCTCCCTGACAAGTTCTTTGACTTTTTTGATCGAGTGGAGTGGGCTTTCACTATATGCGAGATCAACGGAATGATTCTGATCGTCTTGTGGATTATACAGCTGAGTCTCTTAAAACATAAGTGAGTTTTCTAAGTAGCACACACGGTGTATGTGAATCATTTGAGAGTCTTGCATGAATGCTGTTTGTAGGTGATTCTCATAAATCCTGTAATGTCCCAGGCATATTTTACCACAAATTCAAAAGAAATACATAAGCTAATTTGCTTAAAGACAGTGAGGAGAATTTTTAGACTTTGACATTATTTTCATGACAATTAAGCATTTTAACTTTAATGAGAATAATATTTTATTGCATTACAGTAATAAGTTGTGCTTAATTGTCACAGAATATTATTAAAATAATATATTATTCATGAAATTCAACAGTAATCAGAAGAAAATATCATAAATTTTTTTGCATTGTGGTAATGAGAATAATTTACTGTATTAGAGTAATATGTTGTGCTTATTTGTCACAGAATATTATTAAAATAATATATTATTCATGAAATTCAACAGTAATCAGAAGAAAATATAAAAAAAAATTTGCATTATAATAATGAGAATAATATTTATTGCATTACAGTAAAGCAAAAAATTTAAACGATATGTTCTTCTGATTACTGTTATAGGAATAATGTATTATTTAAATTATATTTTTGTTACAGTTACTCACAATTTTTAACGCTAAAAAGTGATATTTTCTTCTGATTACTGTTTTATGAATAACATATTATTTAAATATTATTTTTATTACAGTTAAGTACAATTTTCATTAAAATTATTATTAATCCAAGAAAATTGTAATTCATTACTGTAATAAATAGAATATTTTTTACAATATTTTTTGTGAATAAAATATTGTTTAAATTATATTTTCATAATTAACCACAATTTTCACTTAAATGATCAATACCGCAATGAAAGAAAATATATTTTTTGTTACTGTAATGCAAAAAAATTAAATGAAATTTAAAATTAATTAAAAAATTAAGTCATATTTCAATTCAATTATATTAAAATTATATTTACTATATTTAATTATATTAAATGATATTTAAATATTTTTTAATGTCAGTTAAGCACAATTTTACTTATTACCGTAATGTAAGACAGTATTATTCTCATTACTGTAATGCAGGAAAATTTTAAACGATATTTTGATCTCATTGCTGTAACATGAATTAAATATGAATAAAATATTTAAATGACGCTTGAGCATAATTTTCCCTCATATTTCATTACCATAATGCAAAAACTTATTCTCATTACTGTAATGGAATTTTTTATTTTATTTAAATAAATATCTGTAAAGACTTTTTGTATTTGACTGTATGAATCATCATTGAGAATCATCATGTGAAATGTCTCCTTAATTGTCATGACTGTACCTTCAAAATTCAAAACCTTAATGAATAGACCAAGTCTAATTTCTTATCTATGTCTGTTAATTTTAGGGTGAAATGTAAAATGTGACTTGCTTGGTCATTCGCTCTGGTAGTAGTGTGGTTAAAATATTTAACCACCACATCTTCCTTCCACAGATCAATTGTAGGTCGACGCTTCTTTTTCATAGTCGGGACGCTCTACCTCTACAGGTGCATCACCATGTACATTACTACTCTTCCTGTGCCTGGCATGCACTTCAAATGCTCTCCTAAGGTAAAAACAACAAAATCTCACTTTCTTTTCCCATTCCCATATTATTTTATAGCATTGTTAAAATTCATAATCAGCACAACTAACTTTGCAATGTTCGACATGTAGGCTTGTTGGCCAGTTAAAGGAATCGTTCACCCAAAATATTTAGAATACAGTGGAAGAGGATAGAGACTCCCTTTAAAGCTGTAAAAATAGAAGTGTCATTAAAAACTTGTTCGTGATTCGCATGTTCAGGCATAGACTATGTAATTGTCCTGGCTCCTTTAATGATCGATACTGTACTTGTATAATGTTCCATTTTTGGGAAAGATTACAGAATGTTATTTGTTTATATGTGATGTATTGTTGGAAGTGTAGTGTAACAGGAGAGTTGAGGTGGCCATGTATGTTTTGAGCAGTTGATGTGAAGTATTTGTGAGTGTTCTATAAATGTCCTCAGAGCAGAGGTCACAAAGGGACATATTTCACATTGCACGGAGAAGCCGTTCATGGAAAATGTGCTATTTTCATCTGTTTTCTATATGCTCTGTCAAACCATTTATATTGAGGAAGACATAGGGGGGTAGAGTGTCAGAAAGACGTTGACAGGATTTTTTAAATTTGCATTACTTTTATGGGATCTGCCAACCCCATCTCATGAGAAAAAGTAACTACCAAGGTGGTGATTTTGTATGAATTTCTTCAGTGGGATTCATATGGAAATTTACGGTTTTTTAGGAAAAAACTTAAGCATGGAGGTCCACCCCTAAACCCAAATATTGTTTTTCTAATTACTGTTATATGAATAATATGTTCATATATGTGATCCTGGACCACAAAACCAGTCATAAGGGTCACATTTTTGAAATTGAGATGTATACACCATCTCAAAGCTGAATAAATAAGCTTTCCATTGATGTATGGTTTGTTAGGATAGGACAATATTTGGCCGAGATACAACTATTTGAAAATCAAAATATTGAGAAAATCACCTTTAAAGTTGTCCAAATGAAGTTCTTAGCAATGCATATTACTAATCAAAAATTAAGTTTTGATATATTTACAGTAGGAAATTTACAAAATATCTTTATGGTACATGATCTTTACTTAATGTCCTAATGATTTTAGGCATAAAAGAAAAATCAATAATTTTGCCCCATACAATGTATTTTTGGCTATTGCTACAAATATACCCCAGCGACTTAAAACTGGTTTTGTGGTCCAGGGTCACATATATTAATAAATATAAACTATATTTTTATGATAATTTCACTAGGACAATTTCAGCACGATTTCAACAAAACGATCATTAATCCAACAAAATATTATTCTCATTATTCTAATGCAAAAAATTTAAATGATATTTTCTTATGTTTACTGATTTTATGAATAAAATATTGTTGAAATACTATTTTCATAACAATTAAGCACAAATTTTACGGTATGGGTGGTGAACGAATGAATGAAACGCATTTGCCTGTGTTTCACTCCGTCTCGAATTGCACTCGCGGAAAGCGCTTGAGTCTCTTCCGCGGGCACGGTAGGCTTTCAACTAGTTTTTTTAGTCTCGAGCAAGAGTGTACGACATTCACATTACATGATTTGACTGATTTTTATGTAGAAAGGGCGACAGCGCGCCGCATTAAAATAAATGATCATTCATTATTTCATAACCGCTAGCCAAATTCAAAAACAAAACTAAAATTAAATCATCTTTGAGAGCAAGGGGGCCCCCTGGTGTTTCGGAGGCCCTACGCAGCTTGCGTATTTTGCGTATAGGGAGGATCGGCTCTGGTGATGTTAGCAAGTCAATTTGATCTGCAAATTTCATGGCTTAAGACAGACCCCCCCCCCAAAACAAATAATGTTTATATGTGATGTAAATCCCTCAGAAATACGCAATGGGCTCAGATTGGTTAGCTGGCCCAGTGTGTTGTGATTCGCTAAACCGCCTCTAGTGCGCGTCTAAATGTCCCGCCCCTCACCTCAGTGGCATGTGCTCCGGTTGTATTGTAAACAATGACGTCGTTAGTATTGCTTATCATTTTGAGCCTGAATGAGACCCAGAGAATATTAGTGTAGAGGATCGCACAGAACCTGTGCAAGCACGACTCTTACAGGACATTTCAGAATGGCATGTTTTTTTGTTTGTTGTTGTCTCATACTTTTAAGATACACTGTTGTTTGTAAATGCTACTGCTTCTGTTAGCTTCTAATATACTGTTTCATCCTGATTAAAGCTTTAATACAGCAGAATACATGATTGTGTTGTAACATTTTTGTAACAGTAAGTTACAGTAAGTGTTTGCCAGCAAGTATTGCTCTCTACCACAGGTGCACGTCTATGTTTAATGCTTCAAAAAATATCTCTGTCTATACACATAAATTGTATTTGGAACACAGTTCATTGAAGGAGCTGACAAGCTGACGATCTGAATGAGAGAGAGATTCAGAACAGAGCGTGTGCAGAGCAGGGGATGCGAGGAACAGGATTAAGAACCGTTGCTTTAGAACATTGATTTTGAAACTTGTGAATCAATTAGAATCGTTAAAAGACAGAATCACGATTCATAGATTTTTTTCGCGCACCAATAGTTTTGACGGCATGACAACAACTCTTCCTCTTCTCTAAAGCTGCGCAACATGACCCCGCCCCCTTTATTGCATGTTCCCGGGGGCAGGGTTTATGTAAATTTCTGGGTTTGTGATGTCACCAACCCGGGAAGTATCTCGTTGTAGTCCCTACGAGACGTAACTGTAGGCATTAAACTGCCAGAATTTTAAAAGACAATATCTCCGTTTGCATTGAACTTTCAGCTTTGCAGATATTGTTTATGCTCAAACAGCAACATTACACACTAACTAATGTAAAAAAGTGAAATCACAATCAACCACCCCTTTAACTCAAAATTGTGTTGCATAGTTTAAGGGTTAAATAAGAAAATAAGGGAAGTAAATGTCAAATAGTGAAAACTTTTGAAAATGTGTAATTTTCTTCATAGAAAAGAATAGGGAACTATTTTCCCTATCAGTGGCCCTCTTTCCGGACTGCATGAATCTTAAGACAAAATCTGCACGTACCGGAAAAATGAGCAATATTATTGTGAAATGAAATGATTGTTTAGAGAGTAACTCCTCTAGTGTTACCATGCTGACAGTCCACTGGTGATCCTTTCACAACTGTGTGTGTGTGTGTGTGTGTGTGTGTGTGTGTGTGTGTGTGTGTGTGAGAGAGAGAGAGAGAGAGAGACTCAATATGGTCGATGAGATGCTGTGAACACACACACTAGCTACACAAGGCAGGAAATCCACACCACGGGACCTGCAGGAAACACATATTATCAAGCCCAGCAACTCTCACTCTTGTTAGAATCTGCTTTCCTGTTAAATGCAGTTGCTGAAAGAAAGCCCAGACAAAAACAACCAAGAACTTTGTTTTCTGGGAGCCATTTTTTGCTTTTATGTTGAGTCTCAAAGGGCTTATTTGTTGATGTATGCTCTCGACATGAACACATGCTGAGTTTGTAGAAACAAAATGGGACAAGCAGTGTATGAAAACAGGTTTTAAGGAATTATAGGAGAATGTCATGATGCTAATGCTTGTTTGTTGTTTCTGGCAGCTGTATGGTGACTGGGAATCTCAGATGCGGCGGGTGATGAAAATGATTGCAGGAGGAGGTCTGACCATCACAGGCTCTCATAACATGTGTGGAGACTACTTGTACAGCGGCCACACAGTCATGCTCACCCTCACTTATCTCTTCACGAAGGAGTGTGAGTAACTCGCACTGATTTGAGACAACACCGTCCCCTAGCGGACAGTTGAAGCACAAGTTTTGATTATGCAGTGGTACCAAAAAGTATTTGGATATGGAGATGCACTTAAAAGTGTAAGAATTTTATTGCTTTAGATGATTGTGATTTTTGCATTCCTGGGTCTGTTTAGATCAGGTGGATCGAAAGCTTAAAAAAAGTAAAAACGTAACATTTGTCAACCAAAACTATATTTTATATGATCAATATTTCCTCACAGATGAGTGATTATGCAAATATAGCGACGTTTTTATTGTTACTGTGTTATTACCCTGTTGTTACTAAATTTTCACCTTTTTATTATCAAACAAATTAAAATTTTTTAATTTTACATGAACTACAGGAAACCCACTCTGACCCACTCTAAAGAAAAAAAATTAAGTCTACACCAATAGCCTCGTGGTTAGTGCGCCGATCGGGTGTGCCTCACACGTCCTGAAAAGTGAAGCTGCGGGCTCTTTGATCGCCCCCTGGTGGCTGGCTGCAGTACAGGTCATAAACCCCACCCTCTCGATGTAAACGAATGGGACTTGAGTCAAAATAAAAAAATAAATTACACTTCCAATACAATTTTCCGAAAGATGGTTTTTGTCATTTAAGGTAGTTGTTATCATGCTGATATATGTTCAATTGTGCGTTTTTGTGATAAGTTTGATTTTAGCTAGTAATTTGATGCTATAAAAACGGGGGCGTGTCATTATGGTTGATTGGGTCTGCGGGAGTTTGATACCGCGGCTCCACCTCACGACACTACTGCGCAGACTCTGGCTCCAAATAACATCATTTACTCAAGATGGCAGCGGCCATACTGAGATGCTTTGGCTTCACTTTTCTATAGTGGAAGGAAGTGGAGACGCGTTGTCCATCTTTTTTTTACAGTTTATGGCGCTGATATATAGCACAACTGTGATCGGGGCGACCTGAGTTCGATTCCCGTCTTGAGGTCCTTTGCCAATCCTGCTCCCCTCTCTCCATCCAATGCTTTCCTGTCTACTCTCTACTGTACTGTCAATTAAAGGCATAAAAGCCCATAAATATAACTTAAAAAAAGGAAATTTTATTTGAATATATAATGCAAAATTTATAAGAACACATAATTTGAGAATTATTTGTTTATGTGTATTCATTCCATTGAAATCAATGGATTTGAATATCTTTGAACTTATACTGTATATATCATGATATTCAAAATATGTATCAAAAATACATTTATGAAACCTACATATTCCTTTTCTAACAAAACAACATACATATTACTCTAGAATGTTTTCAGACAATATATATTCATTGTACTTGCATGAAGTTTCACTTTTTCATCCATTTTTCATGCTACAGTGGTTCAGTAGGGGTCAGTGGATCACAAGAAGTTCATATTCATGTTTATTAACAATATTCAGTCCCAAAAATGTGTGATATATGGGAAAGAGGTTACATATATTTTATTGAGCATTACATTTTTTTTTTGTTTTGTTTTTTGAGACACTGTAAACATTCCAAAAGATTTGTATTTTGATAGTCTTGGCTCATTTGCAAAGTTTAGTTCCTGTGCTAAAAATGATTAATTGTGTACAAGTTACTGTATGTATCGCTTCCATTTCTTTTCTGTATCTAAACTTGTAATCGTTTACTATTTTAAGACATTACAGCATTGATAGTTTGGGCAAAAATGTGCTGAAATGTTCAGTGCAAAAAATCTTAATGGTCCTCAAAATACCTTTTGAGACGACTTTATGTAAGTTTTGCTTGCTGTCAGTAGATTTTTGTCTTATTTCAGGGGTCGGCAGCCTGTGACACACATGCCAACATTGGCACGCAGAGGGAAAATCACTGGCATGTGAGCAATAGGGAAAACTGCATTCCAACATACATTTGAACTTAATCGTTCCTCATAGGAGGAGAATTAACCTGCGCTAATCTACAGATGCGCGTGTCTCCGGCAAACCATTCGCATGACCGCTGTGCATCCGAGGTGCTGATTTCAGTGGTTAACCAGAACATTTGCCCAAAAGGTTGCCGACCCTTGCCTTATTTCATTGGTTATCTATTAGGTAGCTTATGTTCTACATTATAAGACCCCTGATTTTCTTGCTCCTCACAGATTCTCCTAGAAGGTTCTGGTGGTACCACTGGGGCTGCTGGGCTTTGTGTGCAATAGGAGTGTTTTGCATCCTTCTAGCTCATGACCACTACACGATTGATGTCGCCGTGGCCTACTTCATCACCACACGTCTCTTCTGGTGGTATCACACAATGGCCAACCAACAAGTACGTCTGTCTGTTTTGCTCAAATTTCCATTCAGATTTCTGTGTCAACCTATTTATGGTTTATTTGAACCTTCTACATCTGTATCTTTTCTAGGCTCTCAAAGAGACATCCCAGACCAACTTTTTCACCCACGTATGGTGGTACCGATTTTTCCGGTACCTGGAAAGCAACGTTCTCGCCGTCGTCCCCCGCAGCTACCAGAAGCCCTTCTCATGGCGATCGCTGCATTGGGGCCACGTGAAGTACACGCGGATAGACTCAGATTGACTAATGTGCAAATGCTACATTTGGAAGTTGGTCTCCAAAATATGTGCCCAAAGTGCCGGAAGTTGTAGCTGATCCCTTTAATGAACACAACCAGTCATCCAAAGCATCTCATTCCTCTGTGATGTCCTCACAGGATTGGTTTTGGATGTAAAACTTAGCACATATAGGGCTGAAAACAATAATGGCTTTAGGAGAAACCATTGTCAGTGATTTTCTTCTCTCCAAATTGTGTTATTGGGCTTGCGTTGGCCCGTAGCATCATCCTGAATTTCACCAAAAAAAATCACAAAAGACGAGCCAGCAAACTAAATGCCAAGTTATTTATTTGTATCCTCAGTGCCCCGTTTACAGGCACAAAGCCATCTTTTCAAGCTATTTTTTGTTAACTCAAGTAAGCAATTTGACAAACTGTAAATAGTGCATTTTTGCATTTACAGCCTTACATTTTTCTAGTCGTCTGCTAAACAACACGTGCTGTCGGAGAAGGTTTATATGAATATATTTGTTATTTTTTGAACTAATTCTTTACATCGAGAGCTACAGAAGATGTTTATCGTTTGGATAATCTAATGTTCCTCAGTGCCTTAATAGTTCATTGCGAACAGTGGTCTGACAGTCAACTGTAGTAATGTTTTTATGTTTATTCAAAGACAATTTCAGTGTTTTGAACCACGTATGCTTGAAACAGAACTCACCTCGTCGCTCGAATGTAACAATACTGTTCGTTTTGACAGTGTATTTCCATGACAGTGTCAGCAAAGCTAATTCATTTCTCCGATGTTGTTTTCGGAATGTATTTATTTATGTCTTTGTTCTGTTATATTTCGTTTTTGTCTTTGGAATCTTTTTTGGCACGTTGTTTGTCTTTCTGACAGCTGGTGCTTTATGGCTCTGACTGAAATCCGGGTCTCTGGGGTGTTCAGTTCTGGGTTTGACTGACAAAATGATGTGAACCAATCCATCCTTTCCATGAGCCAGAACAGATGATCTGCCCTGTTGACCATCCAATACGACAAGCTGCTATATTGTGATGTAATAGTAGGAGGTGTTCGTCCATTGACAAAGAAATAAATTACAAAATATCAGCACAAAACAGCTTTGCTTCATTATTTGATTCTTTTTTTTTTAACGACAGTGTCCATATAGACAGTCTGAATTATCAATATTTGTCATGATATAAAAATAAGTTTTAAAAATGTAAAGGCTTTTTAAATTATTTTGGTAGACAAATACTGTATAATCAATTGGTTTATTTTAAAGGGGTCCTATTATGCTTTTTCACTTTTTCAACTTTCAAATAAGTAATGCCAGTTACTTTTTTCCCCCTATTTATTAAGTGCAGAGATGTTGTGTGCCCTGTGTGATCATGATGTTACTGTAGTTTTAGATTAAATGTGAAGATGCATTTACTCATCTGTACTCATCTCAACGTCAGTATTCCAGTAACTTCAGTATTTAGAGTTTTTTTTTTTTTTTTACATTTCCTTCAGCTCTGTCTTCATCTTTCTCCATATGGCGTATCGCAACAAATATTTGACTGTTCCTGTGGTTGCCTCTGATATTGAGACTCTCGCCTCATTATCAGGGTTTGATTTCTGTGATTGGAGTTGCTCTAGCTGAGAGGCGGCTGTTTTTCACCCCACCAGTCACACTGGAATGTGCACCTTCCATGTGACTGCAACAAGTGAACAAAAAACAATAAATAAAGTTTTCTTAAACAAGACATTGTGGTATGGTTCTTTAACTTACATGTTACATACCCTCACGATGTCACAAAGGGCTTTTACATTTGCCAAAAATATAACTTTTTTCTTTTTTCATATTAAAAACAAGCAACCCCAATGCCAGATAAGAAAGTAAAAAAATAAAATAAAAACACAAAATAACTACGTAATGAAATTAGTTAAATTTTTAGGGAGTATACACATGATGGAAAGCATAGCTTAACACAGGACAAGAAAGGACTATTATAGATATTTAGTCATAACTACACCATTTTACCCACAGCAATAATAAATTTTATTTGTTTTATTTGCTGCATCCCACTTTGAACCTTCTCGATTTAAGTATTTCATAGCTTGGAAGAAATCTAAGCATTCAGCATCTTTTTGTACTGCATGCATGTATCAATTTTTTTAATTTTAATTTTTTAAAATAAATTTACTCTTTTAACGTTTGCATTTATTTTGTTACATTTATTATTAACTGAAAATTCTCTCTGTGGTTAAAATTTATGTCTTGATATGGTCTGCGGTATCTCAAATGTTATGCAACTAATCTAATCTAATCTGAGAGTTTGGTTTCACACTGTCAACATGAAATATGGCTATAAACAGTGCAGAGAATATTACCTTTGTCCTTGTGCTGTATACACTATAAGTGAGCACTTGTTCCACACTTGATTTGCTTTTCAAAATCTACACCTTTCAGTAAACTTGAGAGCGGAGTAAAACATGTAAGTACTTTTTCACCTGTTTGATATTATGTTTCCTTTGCAGAATAAGATAATTTAAACAGAATAAGAGGGATCATAAAAATTGCATGTTATTTTTTATTTAGTGCTGTAGTGAATAAGCAGTTTCACATAAAGATGTTTACATAAAGTCCAAAAACAACAACAACAACAACAACTGAATTTACACAAACCAGTTCAAAAGTTTACATACTCTTGAATGTTAATACGGTGTGTTGTTGCATACTGTGCAAGGGGTATGTAAACTTATGAGCATCATAAGTCAAAATCATACAAGTCCAAATTAATATTTTAATTTAGCAATGGTGTGTGAAATTGATCAAAATTGGCTGTAATGACTTTATTACTTTTTTTGTTATTTCAAATAAATGCTTATCTTTTGAGCTTTGTATTAAAAAAAAAAAATCCTGAAAACAAGTATGAATGTTTCCCTAAAAATATGAAGCAGCACAACTGTTTTTGATATTGATAACAAGAAGAAATGCTACTTTAGCAGCAAATCAGCATATTTGAATGATTTCGGAACCCTGAAGACTGGAATAATGGCTGCTGAAAATTCAGCTGTTCCATCACAGGAGTGAATTGCATTTAAAAAGATATTCAAATAGAAAAAACGTATTTTCAATGATAAAATATTAGAATAAAAATATATCAACCCCAAACATTTGAAGTGTAGTGTTATTACGTTTAGCAACATAGAAATATGAATTCATGCTTCAAACTTCAGACACAGTTGTTTAGTGTGTTACATGTGTTTATATTTTGTATGACAAGCATGTGCTCTGTGTGTGTGTGTGTGTGTGTGTGTGTGTGTCTCAGTGAAGGGTGATGGCGCGTAAGACTGAGTGCTGTCGGCTCAATGGTCTGGAGATCTCCCTCATAGTTCTCTTCCTTTTGATGACAGCGGTCTCAGTGGGGTTAATAATAGTCCTGGCCCTCAAACTGGATTCAGAAAAACGTAATTCTGAACTGTTCACATGGTTTAATTACAAGAAAATTACAGCTTGTAAAAACTAAAATGCATTTGTCTTAAGCAATATTTTTTTGTAGTTACACATTGTAAGACCTAGGAAAAAGATATGATTTTATATTCATATATTTCATATTTAGAAATATTTTTTGTTTTTTTAATTAGGGGGGAGTGCAGAAAATATTTGATGTAGGATTTACTTTGAAACTCCGACTTTTGAATCTCAATGTAATTTTTTCCATTCATAAGCTTATTGAAGAATCATATGGTGTCTGGTTTGAATTATTTGTGCACCAGAGGAAGTGACTCCAGAGGAGCCGAGCCCATCAGTGGATCCTCCAGAGAACCCTTATCTGATTGGTGTGGGTCGAGCTGACTGTACCGGGCCTGTGGCCGATCTGCCCATGGTCAGTTTCATTTCTCTCAATCTCTTTCTGTTCAGTTGATTTATTCGATTTTGATCATTTGATTTTACTCTGACTATTTCCAGCTGTTCTGTTTGATTATTGATTATTGGAGACCTTATAGCTGGAAGTTGATATTCATCGGTTGTTAGCGACTGATAATGTTTATGACTGTGCACTGATCAGATGTGATGATAAAGGACAGATATCAATGTCAAAGACTAAGTTAAGATTCTTGTGAATGGTGATTTAGTTTTTTTGTTTGTGGAGAAGATGGGTTACGCTAATACTGAGCAGACGGTGAGAGGGATCCATACACGTCTGTTCAGCCGAGCCTTCATCATGGACGATGGCAGTAAAAGAGTGGTGTTCATCACTGCAGACATTGGCATGGTCTCTCAGAGACTGAGGCTAGAGGTATAGCACACACACATTATTCCGGGTTTCTTCTTCTGTAGTCATGAGAAAAGTTTACATAAAGCACTTCTCTTATAATTAGCATGTGTGCCATTGACAATGGTCATTATATATATACAGTATATTATATATATATATATATATATATATATATGTGACCCTGGACCACTGCTATGACAGGACAATATTTGGTCGAGATACTATTTGAAAATCTGGAATCTGAGGGAGCTAAAAAATCTAAATATTGAGAAAATCGCCTTTAAAGTTGTCTAAATGACGTTCTTAGCAATACATATTACTAATCAAAAATTAAGTTTTAATATATTTACAGTAGGGAATTTACAAAATATCTTCATGGAACATGATCTTTACTTAATATCCTAATGTTTTTTGGCATAAAAGAAAAATCAATATTGACCCATACAAAGTATTTTTGGCTATTGCTACAAATATATCCCAGCGACTTAAAGGTGCTGTATGTATGTTTTTGACTATACTAAAGCATAAAAATACCATAAAATGTTTGCAGATATTTAAGAAACATGCTAAGTTAACATACTTGTTTATCTGAAAAACAATGCTACAGTCAGTTATTCTCCTTTGAAAATGTACGTTCCGGGCCGGAATGTCGGTCTCTGTTTTGGTTTGTGAAACCCGCCCACTGCCAGTTTACCCAATTGTATTTCAGGACTCCGGGTTGCCAGTTGGCGGAAAACACAGCGTATTTCATTCCATTCATCGTCAAGTGCGCTGGTTCCTGTTGGTGTCATCCATCTGGCAACCTGTGTGTGCGTCAAGTCTGAGGAGGAGGGGCCGGGTAAAAAAAACCCTCTCCAATATTTTGAATTTGGACTGCAATACCTAGTTCAACCACTCGGGGTCAATCCTACATACAGCACCTTTAAGACTGGTTTTGTGGTCCAGGGTCACATATTATAAATGACCCCAAACGGAATGATATATACACACACACACATACATACACACACACACGCACACACACACACACACACACACACACACACACACACACACACACACACTCTGTCAGTGACCCGGTGAAGGAAAATTGCTAGTAAATTTCACAAATACAAAGAACACGTTTAATAATAATGATAATAATAATAATTATTATTATTATTATTTGAATATATAGTACTAGAAATTCTGAATATATAGTACTAGATTGTTATTAAAAAGCTCTTTATTAAGTGTTTAAGTAGTTTGGTACTATTTTTTGTATTATTTATGAGTTGACAATTCTATAACACTTTTCTATATTCTACAAAAGCTTTTCAAAATGTTTTTGCTCATACTTTCCACTTTGAAAAATATTTTAGATTTTTTTTTAATTAAATATTTTAATAAAGCTGTCAGGATTTTGTATTGTTATTATTATTATTTTATTTCATTATGTTACACCAACTGACATTTTTTTTTAAACGATTACATCAAATGTCTAGTACAGAACTGTATAAAATGTCGAATTTTAAAAATTGGAGAAACTAAAATTAATACAAAGATCTTGCATATCTAATAATCTGACTCATGTTTCAAACTAGATTTTCTCCTTATGATCATTTCTGCCATATTTTTACTTGTTAGTGACTGTGTTTACATGCCGTTTTATTGTGATTTTTAAATCAGCATGTGCCACAAATTTTACTATTATGATTCCTATGATTATGAGCTTTGATCACATAAGTTTGATCGTGTTTACATGAGGTAAAGTTTAATCGCAATATTGCCCAAATCTCATTAGAATTGCATTATGAGGGTGAATTTAAATATCATCGTCCCAAACCATTTTAGGTTCTGCAAGAGCTTAAGGCGAAATACGGAGACCTGTACAGACAGGACAATGTGGTCATGAGTGGCACACACACACATGCAGGCGTGGGTGGCTATTTCCAGTACACCCTCTTTATGATCACCAGTAAAGGCTACATTAAGCCGTCTATACAAGCCATCGTCAGTGGAATAGTCAAGGTATGCTTTACTGGCCTGCTCTCATTTGAAATGCATTTCTGATAGGTTAACATATAAATGTGTACCCTTTGAATTAGTTCATGTTAATGCCTTCAGCATGTCATTGATAATATTTTCCATCCCCTGCATCAGAGCATTGATCTAGCTCACAGGAATTTGAGACCTGGACGAATTTTTATAAATAAAGGACAACTAGTCGACAGCAACTTGAACAGAAGCCCACATTCATACATGAACAACCCTGAGGAGGAGAGAAACAGGTTTGTTTGTTTGCTGATGTGCTCATATTGATCCAGCTGCAGTTTAAAGTAACCTAAATCCCACCAGTGTCAGAAATCAGCTTTTATTATTAAAGGGATAGTCCACCCCAAAATAAAAAGGCCTCATGTTTCTATCTTCTGTAGAACACAAAACAAGATATTCTGAAGAGTGTTAGTAACCAAACCATTTTGGGTCCCATTAGGGCCTTTCGCACCGCGGGAACCTTTTCATAGTACCAGAACTAATTGTGGAACTACCCACTGACTTTCGTAGTATTTTGTATTCATGCTATGTAAGTCAATGGGACACAAAACCATTTGGTTACCAACATTCTTCAAAATATCTTCTTTTGTGTTCCACAGAAGACAGGGTCCTTTTGTAGCCGGCTTTTCCTCCAGTAATCTTGGAGATTCATCTCCCAACATTCTCGGCCCCGTCTGTGTGAACACAGGCGAGAAGTGTGACTACCTTAACAGCTCCTGTCCCATCGGTGGAGTGAGTTATTATTATAAACATGCTGTATATTAACAGGATTGTTCACAATTTACTATAGACTTGTACTTAGAATACCTTTAATTTACTATTTCATTTTTACACACAATATGTGGGGTATTAAGGACACGATATGTAAAATTTATACATATATATAGATATATATTAGTGCTGTCAAACGATTAATCGCGATTAATCGCATC